ATATGTATAACAACACTTTTGCACACATTACTAGTTTAATATGTATCGTTAAAACAATGCTCGTTATGTACTAAACCATTGTATTTTTACAACACAATGTAGGTAAAACAATCTCATAATGCGACTAAAGATGTTGTATGGAGCTTAGCTTGGGGACCAAACCAAAGCGTCATTCGTTGTCCAAAGTATGTTATTAATGGATACAAGTTTGCGACTATATCATCAAATGAAGGGATGGCTACAACAAATTATGGCGTTTGCGTTACAGGATCGCAGATGGAAAGTTTAGAAGTTGACTATTTTGGGATGATAATTGATATTGTACAAATGGATTATCTTGGCCACGGTGACACAAAGTTAACTTTATTTAAATGTCAATGGTTTGATCCTAGCACACAGGGCACAAGAAAAGATCGGTATGGAAATGTTGAAATCAAGAAGTCTAGGAGATACAATAGATACGATCCGTTTATATTTGCTCAACAAGCCGAGCAGGTGTATTATACATCCTATCCGGGGGATGAACAAGAATGGATGGGGGTAATTAAAACCAAAGCACGTAACATTATCCCAGTGACAACAGTAAAAGAAACCGATCAAATTGACAATCCTTACCAAGATGATTATGTTGGGGAGGTTCCTGTACACATTGCTGATGATGACATCCATGACATCCTTGTTGACACTATGGCTGAATTAGAGACAATCCCCGCATATCGCATTGATAGTGATGACACGGACATTGAGGAACCACAATTCTTGTCATCATCTGAATCAGAACATGACGATTATGAGACTGAGGAAACTGAAGAAGAAGACATAGTTTTGAATGAAGATTCAGAATGAAATGCCAATTATAAACAATCATTTGATGTGTAGGATCATGATTGTTTGTTTGTGGTCATATTTCTTGTAATATGTCAGCTGTAGTTGTCATTGTTGTAATATTTGATATATCGTATACTTATCTTTGGATGTATTGTTAATTTTGATGACATATTTTGTAACATTGGATGCCATTCAAGTTCATTGATGCAGAATATTTATACATGTTCATGGATGATTAATTGTTATGGAAATTGTAATGGTAAACTGAAATATTAATCAAGTATGTTTCTTATGCAGATGAAGGCATTTGACCCTACACATGGTAGGGGTAGAGGTAAGGATAGTTCCTCTCTACGTACATATGGACGAGGGGCCATTAGAGGTCGAGGGCAGGACCACACATCATTGTCTTCACGTCTGCAAACAACATCACCAGATGCACAATCACCACCATCGGCAGTCGAAGAGACACCGAAATCGTTTGTACCTTCAACTGAAGACGAAAATGAGGTTATCTGAAATTATATGCATATATTCTACATTTTTTTTTTGGTAAATATATTCTACATTTTGAATTCCAATAAATTTGTGTTCAAATATGATTATTGTCATATTTATGCTATTTTTTTCTTGTTTTTGTTAAAAAGGATCACGCTCTGTCCCCACCGCCGCCTCCATATTATGGTCCACCGCCGCCTGTCATCCAGGATCTTGTTCCACGGTGGGGGGGAGAAAGATCTCGTGGACAATCATATATGGGTACGACCGACCATCGATGGCAGCAAGTAAGTACAAAAATTGTTAATGGTTGTTATGTTAATTTTTCAATAAACTTTCATGTAAATGTTGATAATAATTTAGATGCATTGGTCAATATAATCACATTACAATGTATTTCAGCTTTGAACCATGTGATGTAGTGCGCAAAATGTGGACAATAATCAAGCGCAACTATGACGGTCCATACCCTACATATAAAGCAGTTCCAACCAATGTCAAGGAGAACTGGTTGAACACATTGATGGTAATGGTTTCCCTTTAAATCTGACCATATTACCATATTAATAGTTATGTATGATTCAAGGTTGTCAAGTTAATGTTGATATTTTTACTAACTTGTCTTTCTTGTCGTGTTTCATCCTTGTAGGAAAATTATAAATGCTTGCCGGATGACCAATATCTTTTTGATAAAGCATACAAGATCAAAGCCACTGACATAATCAAAAATCACTTGAATTTGATAAGAAAAGGAAAGGGCGATATGTCTTGGATGAGACAAGATGTTCTTGATGGTTTGAAGGTTCACTGGTCTAATGAAAAATGGAAGAAAATGTCTGAAGCAAATACGAGGAACAGGTCCAAATTTGATGGACCTTCACATTCTGGAGGTTCACTTCCATTTACTGAGCATGCAAGGCGGTTGGTAAGAATACTAATAATTGCATATGCATGTAGATTAAATAAATGGTAAGCCTTTTTTTATACTCACCGTATTATGTACTTATTGTTTTATGAATTGATATCACGCAGTTGGCAGATGGGATCACGGATCTGTCCGCCGTGGATTGGGCTGTATTCAAGCATACACACACATCTAAAGATGATCGTGACAGGTGGTGCAATGACAAGGCAAAGGCAAAAGCTGTGAGTAATATTTATTTTTACACCAAATGTTTACTTTAGAAACCTGATTAGTTTCAGTGTACATGACTTTAACACATCAATACTTTCTATGTAAATTTTAGGATGTCTTTACGAGACTTAGGGAAGAGAGAGACAGCCAAGTCACTCTAGGAGTGGATGCTAGCAGTGTTGCCTCAGATAATGATTTAATCTTGCAGGCAGCTGGTGGGGTTAACAGTAAAGGACGGGTATACGATTTAGGTACACGAGGAGGAGTATATAAGCAATCTCGATATATCAATAGGCTACCATTTGGAGTGTCGCAGCAGGAGAATGACAGGATGTGCACATTGATTCTACAATTGCAGGGTACAGTTGCACAGCAAGAGGAGAAGGCTACACAGCAGCAGAAAAAGGTTGACAAACAGGATAGTGTAATGCCTATGATGCAGAGGCGAATGGACACCATGGAGAAGCTTTTGCGAAGGGTTCCTGTGAAATTATTAGATACTGAGGATGACGATGAGACTCAGCCCCCGTCTCAGGACCTAGGTGATGACCACGATCATGCAGGTCATCCACCAGCATGACTTTTGTATCTTTGTTGGATGTATATGATAGGGACTATTGTCCATAGACTATTTTGATTAGTATATGACAGGGACTTTTGTATTTGTATGTCCCTGTTTGATTAGTATATGTCTTGGACATTTATATATGTATGTCCCTTTTGATTAGTATATGACAGGGGACTTTTGTATATGTATGTCCCTTTTGATTAGCATATGTCTTGGACATTTTTAGATATAGTACTCTTTTGATTAGTATATGATACGGACTTTTGTATATGTATGTCCCTATTGATTACTATATGTCTTGGACATTTATATATATAGGACTCTTTTGATTTGTATATGACAGGGGACTTTTGTATATGTATGTCCATTTTGATTAGCATATGTCTTGGACATTTTTAGATACTCTTTTGATTAGTATATGACAGGGACTTTTGTATATGTATGTCCCTGTTTGATTAGTATATGTCTTGGACATTTATACATATAGGACTCTTTTGATTTGTATATGACAGGGGACTTTTGTATATGTATGTCCATTTTGATTAGCATATGTCTTGGACATTTTTAGATACTCTTTTGATTAGTATATGATAGGGACTTTTGTATATGTATGTCCCTATTGATTAGTATATGTCTTGGACATTTATATATATAAGTCTGTTTTGATTAGTATATGACAGGAATTTTTGTACACATAATTATATTAAAATCATATAATTGTGGTATGTTACTTTAATTATATTTGTTTATCAGGTGTGAAACATAAATTGATATTAATTTTGTAGAGAAAAAAATAATCAAAACATTTTTATGAATTTTTTGTAGAAAATTTTCGACGGAATTGTTTTCCATCGAAAATTATTAAAATATTTTTCGACAGAATTTCATTCATTTTTCGTCGAAAATTTTCGACGGAATTTCATTCAATTTCCGTCGAAAAATTTCGACAGAATTTATTTTCCGTCGAAAATCATTAAAAGATTTTTCGACGGAATTTCATTCAATTTCCATTGAAAAATTTCGACAGAATTTATTTTCCGTCGAAAATTATTAAAAGATTTTTTGACGGAATTTCTTTTATTTTCCGTCGAAAAATTTCGACAGAATTTATTTTCCGTTGAAATTTTCCACAGAAATTCGACAGAAATAATTTCCGTCGAATTTTTTCAACGGAATTAGAGATTCCGTCGAAAAATTTGTTACCTACGAAGACTTATTCGACGGCTTCTTTTCCGTCGAAAATGTCATTTTCGACGGAATTTTTCCGTCGAAAAAAATGCATTTTCTAGTAGTGTCTTTTTTTGTTGAATTGTTGCCATCAAAACTTCTAAAAATGTTCTACAGTGCGCTTTAATTGGAGATAACCACCATCAACCGTTTGCTTTAGGAAAGTTATTTGAATAATCAAATTTGCTGAAATAATTTGCGGAAAATTGTTTTTAAGGGTTATTTGATTATATAAAAACAATGAGTAACTGATAAATATTAAATACATAGGAACTTCATTAAATTTATAATTCATTTGATGTTAATAATCTTTATTGCATAATGTTACCAAAACACAATTCCTTTTTTTGCTTATAATGTGTGCTTTTGACTTTTCGTATATTTTTCTCCAGGCATTAAAGGTTGGAAAGAGAATACTTTCCCTTTCAACATTTCCAGAGGACTAGACTTCAAGATAAACCGCAATGTGCATTTTTGTAGGTCGGGAGCTTCTAATGAGATAATAAAGTAGTGATTTTAGGACATTCCACATACATATAAAGGATTCGCATTAGGACTTTCTGTCAGTGTTTAAAAATGGTGATAGGCATTCATTTGTACTTCCAAAAAGAGATTAATTCAAAATACAAAACTACTTAGTTATGCACCCCAACAAGCTCTGAGGCAACTAGTAAAAATGCAAAATATCATATTTGATTTACTTATAAAATATAGTACTAGGATAATATCTGAATCTCATCAGGGTCATATTTCGTATGTCATTCCAACCTTGAGAAGTCTCTTGTGAGGGATTTCCATTGATTTATACCCTTGCCGAAAATTCTTTCTAAGGAAGCTATATGCATAGTTGACAACAATCTTATTGAAGATGGATGATTTTGGGTCTGCCACAACCTCTGCTTCCCCTAGCAGATACACCACACCCTTCTCCATTGCCTTCTCTATAAATTCTATCTCATTTTCAACTCCCTCAATGGGTGGGGTAGTGACAATGGATGACTTGGCCACAACCAATGATTGAATGGAATCTGAAGAGGCACGAGACACATCTAGTGCACCTTGGTCTGGGATAATAGTGGAACCTTGTGGTACCATCTCACACTCATTGTTGTTAGGAATAGGTACTTGTTCAGTTGTTGTTGTTGTTCCCTCAATCTCATGCATAAAGCTCTCTTGTCGAATATATTCCTTAAGGTGATGCACTAACTGGGACTCAAACTCAAGAGGATCCATAACAGCATCTTTGTAACCATACCTCACAACACAACGAAACATTCTGTATTCTCTCGGCTCCACTTGCCGAAACAAGAACCTCTCTTCCAATATAACTCTACTAATAGGAATTGCCTTAATGGAAACAAACACAACAACTGAATGGATGGATGGTATGCTGGCAATGAAGTGTGGGAATATAGGAGGGATGCCTTGTACGAGCTCAGAATAGAGAAGTCCAATTCCAGGAACACGATTAATACTTGGGTTGTTGGTCAGTTTTCTCAAATAATCAGTGGAAACCTTGTTCTTGAGTTCAAACATGTACCTTTCCTTGTGTACATAATGCCAGATTCCCATGACCATGGTCAAGAAGAGAGCAAATACAATAGGAAGAAAACCACCTTCGACGAATTTGGTTAGTTGTGCAGAAAAATAAACCAATTCAATGCAACTGAATGGCAAAAAGAATAGAGCAACCAGCCATATGCTTTTCTTCCGTATAACCAACATTATGAAGGAAACCAGGCATGTTGTGATCAACATATCACAAACTACCGCAATGCCTGCATCAAACATATGAGTTTGACACTTGTTATATATGCTGTGCTAATACAATAAAACTTAGAATTTTTTATGCTTATGTATAGATTTCTAGAAAAGGGGTTTATAAGCATAATTACCATATGCATGACTAATTTTTTCTGTGGTCTTGAAGGCAGCACTGACCACAATACATGCAACCATGAACATGTAGTTGACCTCAGGAATATACACCTGACCCATGTGCTTAGTAGAAGTATGCACAATCTTAACCCTTGGGAAACAACCCATACTTTGAGCCTGTGATATGATGGAAAATGCTCCTGAAATCATTGCCTGGCTTGCTATGATGGCAGCAGCAACGGCCACAACAAATGTTGGCCAATATAACTTGTCTATATGTTGCGTATTCACAATACAGGGGAAAAGGAAAAAGTTAACACCAATTAAACTTTTTATTAAATTAAAAGAGTTTTCAAATGTGTATTGACTAATCTATAAAAATTAATCAATTTACCAGGGATACATGCATAGAAAGAATTAGACACTTGGCCAGGGAACTTTCCTAGATATGCTGCTTGTCCGCAGTATGCAGCCAATATTGCAGGAAATGTTATGGAAGAGAAGCTAATCTGCAATGTATGTATGTTACAATCTCAGTTTAATTGTATTTCGGAATATATAGTTTTATTTTGTGAAAGAAAATCACCAATTTTGTTTTCTTTGTCATGATTTATTTATGTCTCCTTTTACATTAATTTTGATTTTTACAGAAGAATTGGATCACACATCTTGCAGAGACTCTCAGCCATGTGAGTTCTGCACATATTGTCCTGTTACGTAGACAGGGGAGACAATCATTAACCTATTGAGTTATTTGTATATTACGATTATGTATTTATTTACTTACTTGAATGGCTCGCACATTGAAGTGACCCAAGTCAGCAAACATGGCCTCAGAACCTATGATAATGCATAACTATATGTTACTGTTAGTTAGAATTAAAAAAATGATATATACAGCATAATTAATTAAAAAGATTAAAAGCATAGATGACTAGATTCGACTCACCTGTGGTGCACAAAAAGGCTCCACCTAGTGATATCCATCCTTGTTTACCATTCCGTTTGAAGTATTCAACTATATATTTTGGATTAAAAGCACGTAATACTCCAATGTCATGTGTGAATAAATTGTAGAGACCAATTCCTCCGTTCAATAAAAACCACATTAAGAGAATTGGAGCGAATGAAGAGCCTACTTTGTCAGTACCATATCGTTGCACAGAAAAAAGGAATATTAATATCACTACAGTGATCCCCACAACAGCATCTGAAAAATATGTAAAAGCTATATATGTTAAACATATTACATTCATGATAAACACAGCAAAAAAATTATATAGTAAAAAAAAAAGTATATTAAATCAAGTACCTTGACCTAACGACTTACTGATCCCGCTCACCGCAGAAAGAACTGCACATACATTTGAACAATATATATTTATGTCAAACTCTCCAACCAAGTCCTAATTTTGACTGATATAATGATATTTTCCTTTTATATCATTTTTTGTGCAAAAAGTTAAAAAAAAAATTCTTTTGTGATAATGTTGTTATTATAATTATACTAATAATAATTATTAATTTATTTAATATTATAAAATTAATCTTATGTGTAATCAAGAAGTTGTTCTAATAATAGTTTTGGTTTTGTTTTATTTTATTTTATTTTGTACTTAATGAATTTAATATCTAAAACTTATTAAATGAGTATACGAAAATGAAAGGTAGCTAATAATTAACCTGAAACTGATGGAGTAAGGATGCCATCTCCAATAACCATGGAAGTTCCCATAATGGTTACAAGTAAAAGCAGAACCCTTGCAATATGACTCTTCTCAAGCCTCTGCTTTAGCTTTTGTGTTCTTTTGAGCTTATTAGATGGTGTTTGGAGACTGTAATTAGAGAGCTCCTTGTCCTCTGGTTGTTCATTTGGAATCAAACTCAACTTCGCATTCCTACATATCAATGAATAGAGCGCAAACGCTCCACCTATTTAATGCAAAACAATCTTAAGTTATTCATTTTTCAATAAGGAAAATAATTTTTTACGTTGTAGAAAAATAATTATCTCGTATAATAAAAACAAAGTGAAACTTAGGGATAAAAACATAAAAAAATATAGAAGTGGACACACTTCTCTTTTGTATTCATTTTGTGTGCATTGAAAAAGAGAAATATAACTCTTTCAATAAAGTTATCAGTCACTTATTTCGAAAACAAACGCGTTTTCATTAATAGGAGGATAAGGACAAAATTCTACACAAGAATCAAAGCATACGAATCAGCTCTGAATTTTTGTTTACACCTAAAAATAATAAAACAAAATAATAAATAAAAGAGTTGAGTAAAAAGATTCATCTTACCATTGCCGTTGTCGTTAAACCGAAGTACGATGAAGACATATTTAAGCATGGGGAGGAGTATAATGGTGTAGATTATAATTGACAAGACTCCGAGAATGTCATCTTTGTGACGAACACCATTGTTGAAAGTGCTTTGGAACACATAAAGTGGAGATGTGCCAAGATCACCATATACTATGCCTATGCTTTGAAATGCTAAACTCAGAGTAGTCATCCAACCCAACTGTTCATCATCATCATCATTCACAAACTGTTACGAATATTTACATGTTGTATATATGTACCACAAAATTTGATTTTAAATAAAGTACATGATGTAATTTATGATCATTTAATCATATAATTTTTTTTCAGATATCATATATTATAACCTCATAAAAATAAGATATTATGCTTACCTTTTTCTCATATTTATTATACTTACTCTTCTCTAATATTATTATATTAGAATCTTAAAAACAAAAAGAAAGAATGAATATAAATATTTTTATATTAGAATCTCAATAATAAAAAGATAAAGAATGAAGATAATATGAAAAGGAGAGAGAAAGGATGAATATAAATTAATATTCTGATCTAATAGATTAAGTAAAGCAGGTATGAAAAAAATAGATATAATATCCTATCTTAAAATAATATTATATTTAACAAATATTTCGAATTAATTGAATTTTCAATGAATTGGTAGAGAGAAAAAAAAAAGGCAAAAAAAAAAAAAAAAAGGAAGACTAAAATGCAAGGTACAAGGTTGTAAGAGAGACCGTGGAGGAGTGGTTAGCATTCATGGAAACTCTTCCAGCTTCCAAATCGAGAGAGTCCATACGGCGAAGCTTTGGCCATGAAGGTTTTCGGTCTTTGAAGTTGTTTTCTGTTGTCTCCTTCAACGTTTTGGTGTCTCCTCCTTCCATGCCCTCACAATCTCCTTCTGAAGACATTTAATTTGAGGAATGCTTAAGAGTGTGATCACTTTTTTCAAAACAGAGATCCCTTGTTTTAATTGGTGTTATGCTTTGGTTTGCATTGGATTTTATAGCCACCCAATGCTACATCTTGGTACTCTCAGTTCATTATCATTAATTACACACTATCACTAGATAGAGGTTTACTTTAATATCTTTACTTACGGTGAAAACACCCGGTTGTTTCATAGCAGAGCGTGTCTTCTGATATTTTTTCTTAGTTCTTAAGAGAGTCATTTAATGTCATTTAATGAGTTTAATATTTTAATATACAAATACCTAATATGTATTTGACTTTGCACTCTTTTTTTAGTAAAGAATTAGCTCCTTTTTACTCTTTAGGAAAACGTAATCGAAATGTTTTCAAAAAGGCTTTGACTAATAGCTTAAATTAAAATATATCCAATCAAATATATATACTTCTAACCTTATTAAGTATAAGAAAGAGATTCATGTTTCAAATTTAATAATTTTATTTCTATGACTCTATTTTATTTTTTGGAAAGCATTCTCTTATGTTGCTGGAAAATAAAATCTCTTCTGCATAAAAATAATAATTATGTATTATGGGTAATATATAGTTATAATATTAAATCTATTTTTTTTCTCTCCTCAGATATTGTCAGCTGACATGGCATAAAGAGAAAAAATAATTTTACGATTATAATATTGTTTTTTTTGGCAAGAGATAATTCTCTTATGTAACATGAGAAAAATAAAATCCTTTAATTTTTATATGTAAATATATTTAATCATATACATGCACATTATAGTAGTAGCGTAAAAAATTAAAATTTGAAGATGTATCATTTTCTTTCGCGATTTGAATCTTTCTCTGAGGATATGTTTGGATGAGCTTTTGAAAAATGAATTTTTTATGAGTTATTTGTTTCAAAAGCCAAAGTTATTTTGCATTTAGATATAATATTTGAAAAGTGTTTTTAAGTAAAAATGTCATTTGAATATTATTTTTTTGGAAATATTCCATCGGTTCATCGCTTCGCGATTAGTCCGATTCGGGGCGGGTCCATGATTAAGGCTTTAAACCCCTCCCAAAGGTGGTACTGGGGAGAATGTCATTTGAATGTTAAAATAAAAGAAACATTTTTACATATAAAATTAGTGTTGTGTCATTTCCTCTTTGACACACTCATTCGAAGAATAAACAAATAGCAATGGCTTTCCTAACCCCTGGAATTCTGTTGAAAATGTTGCAAGCAATGAATTTCTTACTTGTTCAAAAGTTAAAAGTTTTAACTTTTCAAAAAAGCAAGATTTTGATTTTTTAGCTAGCTTATGCTTTTATTAAAAGCTCACATAAAAAAATAAAAACACTCTTCTTATTTCTTTTAAAAAAAGAAACTTTTAGTGGAAAAGAAGCTCATCCAAACAAGTACTGAAACTTATACAAAACAGATACATAAAATTTAGCACCAAACAAGCCTTAAGACTCCTTTTTTCCCACACTTGCTTTTGTTTGAATTTGTTTTTTCAACTTTTCTAACAACCTTAGAAATTTTCCATTTTGTATTATCAACTTTGTGATAAGTATAATGTTGGACAAGTGGCTTCAATACTCAAGAGGAAGAGTGAGTTGAGTTTTTACAAAATCTTTTCGCAAAGTGACTCCTTTGATATTTTAAAGATTATTTCTCCTATAAAGTGATTTAATAATGAAAAGTCTAAGTGTGAGAGCAAGTGTAGTGATCAATAAAGCAAGCAAGTAATTCCAAAAAATAAAGCAAGCAAACAAACAGATAAACACAATCTAAAATGCAATTTCTATATTAAAGTAAGGAGTTTAAGGTTAGAGAAAATGCAAACTAGATGTATCCTGATTCGGTCACCACCACTGTGACCTACGTCTAGACTGAAGCCGCTCGATCAAATCTTTTCACTAACTATCAAGCTTGAGGGTGCTTGACAAATCACTACAACCTTTCAAGACTTCGGGCTCTTGATGCCTTACAATTTTTCACTCCAAATTTTCTTAAGAATTTGGTGACCTTTCTAGTGTATAAGGTTCACTCCCCTAACTATTCAAGAAATCAAATGGAGGTGTTTAATAATGGCTAAGTACTCTCAAAGTACAAATAATACAAGTTGAAGAACTATGAGTGTTGACACTCTCACAAGAATAAAGCTCAAAGATGATTTTTGATCAAGATGATTGAAAGTAAGCAAATGATGTGACTTAAAGCAAGAATGATGACCAAGAAGAGTTGTCCAATCAATGGAATAGTGGTCACTATTTATACAGGGCCCCATGACCCTTTGCACACTCATTTTCGCAAAATTAGCTGTTTATAGCTGTTATTTTCATCCTCTAGTGCAATAGGAATCGATTTCCAATGAGTGGGAATCGATTCCCAACCTTTCAGATGAGTAGGAATCGATTCTTGCTCACAAGGAATCGATTCCCAACATTTTAGAAGAGTTGAAAATACGTTCAAAAATATTCTAAAACCTTTTCAAATATGTTTTTGTAAATGCGTAATGCTATAAGTCCTTTGTGTAATCAAATGATAATTTAATGCATGTATTTTAACAAAAATACGTTTGAGCTTATTCATGCAAGAAGTCAGTTACCCTCACAATCAATTCTAAGTCCTAAAGTATATTATTTGATAATTCTTGGACTTAGATTCTTCTCTTGAAGCTTGAATCTTGAAGGACTTCATGATCGTTAGTTGTTTGTTTCTTTTTTATTGTTGCAACTTGAAGCCTTCCTTCCATGCTTTGTTTGTTATCATCCAAATCCTAGACTTTATGTTCTGCATTGGTTCCACATATAAGACTTTAAATTTTATTCTAATATTTAAAATAAGGGTTCGCTTTTTGTGTAGTTACTGCAGATAAGTTATCTGCAGTACGCCTAATACGACGTTGTTTTGGGACAGAAATCATGGTATTTTTGTAATTTTAATTTATTTCAGGATTATTATAGTCTTTATAATTATAATTATTTAATTTTTCAATCCTAAAACGACGTTGTTTTGGGAATAAATGCAGATAACTTATCTGCAGTAACTGCAGAAATATTATTCTGTTAAAATAATTATCTAAATGTTGACACTTCAATTTACATAATGTAGAATCATTTAATACTTAAAAACTTTAAGGAAGATTTTTAGTAAGAGAGAAACTAGCAGATTTTAACATTATAATATAGTTTAAATAAATGCTTATTTCATTGCTAAATATTAACTTCCTGTTCCCACAAGTCAACATATTACTACTTCAATTCTGTAAATATTAATGGCACTATTCTATTAATACTTATATAAATATATTCTTTCTATTGATGAAAAAAACTTCTGCCAATCTAACACTTCTATAAATATTGATAGAATAAAGAATATATAGCCAAAATATTAATATTAATAGAATAATACCATTGACATTACACAAGTATTATTGTATTAATAGAAAAATCTTATCAATGCATAGATAGAATATATAATAGAAATAAAATAAAATAAAATAATTAATATTAATAAAATTATACTATTAAAATTTATAGAAGTATTAATAGATTAATGTTTTAATGCATTATTTCCATTGTATATTCTTTCTATAATAATTTTTTTGATTAATTTATTAACACTTCTAAATATTAATATTAATTGAATAATACTATTAATATTTAAAGAAGTATTAACAAATTAATATTTTAGTTGTACATTATTTCTAGTGTGTTCTTTTTATTAATAGAAAAAAGTTAAAGAAATTTTTTCGCCCCATGCTCCAATCAGCTTAAACCCATGCCTGTCTAATTGAATTCATGTTGACCTTTTAGTCTTTTTTTTGGCTGGCAAGGTTCAATGATACAGGTGAAAGGAGTTGACCTTTTGTGTTTCTCTTATATATATTATCTCATAGCAATAATTACCCCCTTTAATGATGTTAAACCTTCCGCGGTTACAATGTACAAACACAATTAATAACATAGTAAAGTCATTGTTGTGACGATGCAATATGAAAATAAATTCAGTGGTTTGGTGTTATTTTTATATTTTTTTTGGAAATATTCCTAAGGTCATTGCTTCGCAACTAATTCGATTCGGGGCAGGAATAGGATTAAGACTTTAAACCTCTCTCAAAAAGTGTTCTAACTGCGGTACATTTAATCAATAGAACCCCCACTCCTCTTCTCCAAGGAAAAACACCATATGAATGTCTTTTCAACCGCACACCCAGCTATGATCATATTCGCATATTCGGATGTCTTTGCCATGCTCATCCACGTCCCAAACCGTTGGACAAGTTTGCAACTCGATCAACTTGGTGTCTGTTCCTGGGATATCCTTTTGGCAAAAAGGGTTGGAGGCTTTATAACCTTGAAACACATACTGTTTTTGTATCCAAAGACGTGGTATTTGAAGAGAACACCTTTCCTTTTGCACCAACCACAGTCATTCCTACCACTGATATTCCTCACGACCCAAACCCCCATAACCCCATATCACCCGAACCAACCCTTGCTCCACAAAGCCCATCCTTTGATTCCCAAGTTGTTACCAACCCTGTCCCTTTAATTGAAGACACTCTCCCTGTTGAACAGGCTCAGCCCGAATCTGCCCCTACTATCTCCAATGAGCTTTCTATCCGACAAGAACAGCCCCCAGAAGTCACACATCCATCTGCACCTTTGGGACGTGGTCACCGTTCTCGCCGTCCTCCATCATATCTCCAAGATTTCGAATGCTCCAAAGTCATCGCACATAATCCACTAGCTTCTTCTACTTCTTCCAGTCCTTCCTCAGGTATGGCTTATCCTATTGCTAACTTTGTTTCTTGTTCTAGATTCTCTCCCAAACATCAACAATTCCTTGCTGCCATTTCTTCTGGTGTTGAACCAAAAACATTCAAGGATGCTGTAACTGATGAAAGGTGGCGTGTAGCAATGCGAAAAGAAATAGATGCCCTTGAACAAAATCACACGTGGGAACTCACTTCTTTGCCACCAGGAAAACGTGCCATTCCATGCAAGTGGGTATACCGCATTAAGTACAACTCAAATGGTACAGTGGAGAGATTCAAAGCACGGTTGGTCATTGCCGGTAACAATCAAATAGCTGGAGAAGAATACTTCGATACATATGCCCCTGTAGCCAAAATAGTGAGTGTCCGAACACTTCTTGCGGTAGCTGCTGCCAAATCATGGCACCTATACCAGTTGGATGTTACGAATGCCTTTCTACACGGAGACCTTACCGAAGAAGTTTACATGCGCGTTCCACAAGGTTTCAATCATCACAAACCACATCAAGTATGTCGCTTACGTAAATCTCTCTACGGTTTGCGGCAGTCCCCTCGCAATTGGTTTGCTAAGTTGCGGTCTTCCATTGAATCATATGGCTTCATCCAATCCAAGGCAGATTACACCCTATTCACCTTACACAAAGATGGCCACTTTGTTGCTCTTCTCATCTACGTTGATGACATTATTCTAACGGGCGACAATGATGCCTTATGCACCGATGTCAAGGTCTTTCTCCAGTCATGCTTTCACATCAAGGATTTGGGGATTCTTAAATATTTTCTTGGCATCGAAATAGCTCACGGTCCATCAGGTCTTTTTCTGAGCCAACGAAAGTACGCTCTCGACATATTGGAAGACGCTGGTCTCCTTGCGTGCAAACCATGTGTCTTCCCTCTCGAAACAAATCATAAGCTTGCAGTTACAGAAAGTCCTCCATTCTCGGATCCCGCACGTTACAGAAGACTCATAGGACGTTTGGTTTACTTGACAATTACTAGACCTGAGTTAAGTTACTCCGTCCATGTTCTTTCCCAGTTCATGCAAAATCCTACTATTGCTCAATATGATGCTGTCATCCGCATTTTAAGGTACATCAAAACTGATCCTGGCCAAGGTTTACTCCTTCGATCCGACAATGATCTCCTTCTTCGTGGATATTCTGATTCGGATTGGGCTAGCTGTCCACTCACCCGTCGATCAGTTACTGGTTATTTTATCATGTTGGGTACTTCTCCTATCTCTTGGAAAACAAAGAAGCAACCCACAGTGTCTCGCTCCTCCGCTGAAGCTGAGTATCGTTCAATGGCAGCAGCTACAGCTGAGTTGTTATGGATCAAATCGTTTCTGGACTCGCTTGATGTTCCACATTCACACCCTATGCAATTGCACTGTGATAACCAATCTGCCATGCAAATAGCTGCTAATCCAGTTTTCCACGAACGTACCAAACATATAGAGATTGATTGTCATTTTGTACGCGATCATGTTCTCAGCAATACAATCACTACTACCTACGTTCGTACAGATCAGCAACTCGCAGACATATTTACCAAACCGCTTGGCATGAAGCAATTCAGTTTTCTTCGCAGCAAGTTGGGCATTTCGTCACTTCATGCTCCAACTTGAGGGGGCGTGTTAGGAGAAGATCACCTTTGATTTTATCCTTTAGCAACTAAGTCCTAGTTTTTAGCAAGAATAGTTTGTTATTATTCCATGTATAGTTTGTTGAACAGTATACTTTATTCTAGTTGATCCTCCTTGATTCTGTATAACCGACTTGTGTATATATTGGCTATCAGCCATTTCATTAAATATAACAACATATTCAAATCCTCTTAGTTTTCTATAAAAAGGTTGTTTTTATATTAGATCATCACATCAATATGACTTTAGTTTATCAATGATTTAGTTAGCTGGCTTCCTCAAATTAAGTTTGTTGCGGTGTATAACAAAAATTTGAATAAAGAATCTATGATTTGAATATTAATATTTATAGAAGTATTAATGAATTAAAAGAAAAAAAAAACACTAACTAAGCGTTGGGTTTTTCTTTTTGTGAAATTTTTATTCCAATTAGTTCATAGCTTCGCGTGACTAGTCCGATTCGAGGTGAGTACGAGAGTTAAAGTTTAAAATCCCTTCCAAAAATAGCTAATCATTGGGTTCTTAATTATAATAGGATGTTGTTAGTTGTTACCCTATTTATTATAGCCAACGTTATTTTAAGATATCATGCCCGACGCTCGAGGGTAACAATTAACAAGTCATCCTCCTAGCTAGCATAAAATGCAATGCAAAGCTTAACACCAATCAAAATCAGTTATCAGCTGAGATCTTACAAAGTGGTAACATTTGAAGCATTAATTCATCAAAAGTTTGCATAAGCAGCAAATTGAATGGACATGGAGGGAGAGACGAAAACGTGGCAGGAGACAGCAGAAAAAAACTTGAAAGAGCGAAAGCCATCATGGACAAAGCTCCGGCGTGTAGACTCTCTCGATTTGGAAGCTGAAAAAGTTTCCAATAATGCAAACCACTCCTCCAAGGTCTATTATATTTTATCTTTTCCAATAATTGATTATATAAAATGATCATAAATTACACTATGCATGCATGTACTTTTTTTAAAATAAAAAATATGCAACCATTATACGTACGTACCTATCGATGTAATTATATAAGTTTGTAACATTTAATTTCTGAATGATGATAATTAACAGCTGGATTGGAAGATAACTCTGGCTTTAGCATTTCAAAGCATAGGGATTGTGTATGGTGATATTGGCACATCTCCACTTTATGTGTTCGCAAGCACTTTCACCCAAGGCATTAGCAACACAGATGACATTCTCGGGGTCTTGTCTCTTATAGTCTACACCATTATACTCCTCCCCATGCTTAAATATGTCTTCATCGTACTACAGGCTAATGACAATGGCAACGGTAAGATATATATATATATATATATCGAAGATGTTATTCTCCATCTGCAGGAATGTGAAAAGTAATTCCTGTAGAGAGAGATTGATATTTGAGTTTTTTAATTTTCTTTTTTTAATCATAAATGATGGGACCCACAGACGTCTGCTGGAAAATAGTCTTGTCAACTACAACATAAGAAAATCCATCCCCTGTATATATATATATATATATATATAGATCATATGCTTTGTTTTTGGTGTCGAATTTGTCCTTAACCTATTAATGAAAATAAAAGAATAACTTAAGATTGTTTTGTACCAAATGGTGATAGTTCAGTTGACGCTAGGGAACTAAGCAAGTGGTGTGAGAATATGTATTTGATTCTCCAGTATTATCTTTGGGAGCCGTTAAAAGCCTTAATCTTGGAGCCCGCCCCGAATCAGATTAATTACAAAACAATGAACCGATTATAATATCTTAAAAATAATAATAATAATAATAATAATAATAAGATTGTTTTGTTTTGCATATGAATTAGGTGGAGCGTTTGCACTCTATTCGTTGATATGTAGGCACGCGAAGGTGAGTTTGATTCCAAATCAACAACCAGAGGACAAGGAGCTCTCCCATTACAGACTTCAAAAACCATCTAGCAAGTTGGAAAGAACCCAAAAGATAAAGCATTGGCTTGAAAAAAGTCATTTTGCAAGGGTTATGCTTTTATTTGTAACCATCTTGGGAACCGCCATGGTTATTGGAGACGGCATTCTTACTCCAGCAATTTCGGGTTAATCATTACTCACCTTTTTCTTTTATTTTTTAATATGTTTGCATTATATTGATATAATATAAGGGAAATATTACTCTCCTTTTGCATAAGATTACTTCTCTCCTACTCTCTCACTTCGATTTCCGCACCTCACTTTTTTCTTTTTTTTCTTTTTTCTTGTAATGGTGGGACCCACCCATTTTATCTCTACAACATAAGATACCTATCTTATGTTGAAGGAGAATAATAAAACCCATAATATAAATGAAGAATGTTATATTTACAAATTTTTTATTTGCAAACTCTTACAAACTACACTAAGTATGACCGGTCATACTTCAATCAAGAATGTATGACCGGTCATACTTAGTATAAATTATTAAAAAAAAAATTGTAAACAGATCATTGCTCAATATAAATAGCTTGAACTCAACCGATGAAATGATTCTTTTAGATGATATCAAACCCAACTTTCTAGTACAATTATATAACTAAGAAAAACATGGGAACAGTGACCATTGTGTCACTGTTCACCAACTTTTTTACCTAAATACTACGCGAACAATATTATTTTCTAATCTGCCACGCGACAAGTTCGCTTCTGACACAAGCGACCTTGGTTTGCTGACGTGTTAGCTTTCTGGTGGTGTCAGAGTTCGCTTCTGACACAGGCGACCTCGGTTCTAACAATATTTTAATCAAGTTCGCCTACATGGTAGGCGAACTTCATTTTTTTTGAATTTTTTTTTTTAAATTTAATACTTGTTATCCACTAAAAATGTGACACGTCAGCAAACCGAGGTCGCTTGTGTCAGAAGCGAACTTGCCCCCGTGACAGATTAGGAAATAACACTGTTCGCGTGGCATTTAGGTAAAAAAGTTGGTGAACAGTGGCATTTTGGTCAGTATCCCAAAAACATGTGCAATATCAACACTTTAAAAGGATGTATTAGAGAAATATAATATAAAATCATTAAGGTCTTATCAGTTAACCGCTTGAGTGGTTGGGTTGAGATGGTTACTTTAATGTTTGCTAAATTGAATTAGGGGAATTGTATGCAACACATAAAAAAATGGATATGACCCATTTATTTTATTTTTTTCTCTTATCTTTAATGAATCCAATCCATTTTTTTGTGTTTTGTATGAAAAAAATTATTTGTCTCGTGTAACATAATAGAAACAATATTCCCATTGAATATAAAATAAAATGAAACCACACAACGACTGTCAGAACAACCTCTGAATCACCGTGCATAAGACTAGTCTTACAAATTGGATAATAATTAAAATAATACAAAGGAAAATAATTACTTTTTGCACAAAAGAATATGATAGGAAAATATTTATAATTACATTGACCATTTTGAACTTGGATGTGGAGTTGACATAAACAATTGTTCAAATGTATATGCAGTTCTTTCTGCGGTGAGCGGGGTCGGTGGCTCGTTAGGTCAAGGTACTTAATTTAACACGCCTTCACTATTTGTTTTTTAATTTTTTTTTTTTTTTATGTTTATCATAATTCATCATAATATTTGTTATAGTATGTTAATATATATAGTCTTTGCTTATTTTTCAGATGCTGTTGTGGGAATCTCTATTGTGATTTTACTCTTCCTTTTTGCCGTGCAACGGTATGGTACTGACAAAGTGGGATTTTTATTCGCTCCAATTGTCATGATGTGGTTTTTATTGAACGCTGGAATTGGTCTCTACAATTTATTCACACATGATATTGGAGTATTACGTGCTTTTAATCCAATACATATAATTGATTACTTCAAACGGAATGGTAAACAAGGATGGACATCACTCGGTGGAGTCTTTCTATGCATCACAGGTGAGTCGAATTTAGTCATTTATGCTTTTTAATCTTTTTAATTAAGCTGTATATATCATTTTTTTAATTCTAACTAACACATATTATATACATTATCATAGGATCTGAGGCCATGTTTGCTGACTTGGGTCACTTCAATGTGCGAGCCATTCAAGTAAGTAAATAAATATATACTAAAAGGTTAAAGATTGATGCACATAATTTCATTTTATTTCTTATACAAGGATTAGATTTTGTACATAACTCACAAGATTTGTGATAATCTCTTCTGTAAAAATTATAAGTAATCTAAAAGAAACATGCTCATGAAGAAAAAAAAAAGTTGGTGTTTATCTATCAAAATATATAAAGGGTAATAGAAGCATCATGTCACAGGATATAAATGTTGCATCATGTCACTGACACAATATTTGTGGGGCCCACTGATATTTTTTTTTTAAAAAAAAAAAACAACTTAATAAAAAAATATGTATGTGTCTGCAGGAATAAAAATGGGATTCTTGTAACATGACTGCCGCAAAGCCCATATATAAAACTATATATTTGGAAATATATATAATTAAACTGATATTGTAATGCTTGTTGCAGATTAGCTTCTCTTCTATTACATTTCCTGCACTATTGGCTGCATATAGTGGACAAGCAGCATATCTACGAAAGTTTCCTGGGAATGTGTCCAACACTTTCTATGCATGTATACCTGGTAAATTGATTAATTTTTAATGATCCGTTGATACACATTTGAAAGTTTTTATCATTTAATTAATCAAAGGTTTAATTGATGTTTAATTTTTTCTTTTTCTTTTTCCCTATAATTGTGAATAACATGTAGGAAAGTTATATTGGCCAACATTTGTTGTGGCTGTTGGTGCTGCCATCATAGCAAGCCAGGCAATGATTTCAGGAGCATTTTCCATTATATCACAGGCTCAAAGTATGGGTTGTTTCCCAAGGGTTAAGATTGTGCATACTTCCCCAAAGCATGCTGGTCAGGTGTATATTCCTGAGGTCAACTACATGTTCATGATTGCATGTATTGTGATCACTGCTGCCTTCAGAACCACAGAAAAAATTAGTTATGCATATGGTAATTATACTTTTAATTAAAACTCTCTCTCTCTCTCTCTCTCTCTCTCTCAAAAAAAAATCTATATGTAAGCTACAAAATTGTAAGCTTTAATATTGTACTTGAGAAGCATGACAAGTGACCAAGTATGGTATGTTTGATGCAGGGATTGCGGTAGTTTGTGATATGTTTATCACAACATGCCTGGTTTCCCTTATAATGTTGATTATATGGAAGAAAAGCATGTGGCTGGTTGCTTTGTTCTTTTTGCCATTCGGTTTTGTTGAGTTTGGTTATTTATCAGCACAACTAACCAAATTCACAGACGGAGGTTATCTTCCTGTATTGTCTGCTATCTTCTTGACCATGGTCATGGGAATCTGGCATCATGTTCAAAAGGAAAGATACATGTTTGAACTCAAGAACAAGGTTTCCACTGATTATTTAAGAACACTAGCCAACAACCCAAATGTTAATCGTGTACCGGGAATTGTACTTTTGTATTCTGAGCTTGTACAAGGCATTCCTCCTATATTCCCACACTTCATTGCCAACATACCATCCATCCATTCAGTTGTTGTGTTTGTTTCCATTAAGGCAATTCCTATTAGTAGAGTTATATTGGAAGAGAGGTTCCTGTTTCGGCAAGTGGAGCCAAGAGAATACAGAATATTTCGTTGTGTTGTGAGGTATGGTTACAAAGATAGAATTGAGGATCCTCTGGTGTTTGAGTCCCAGTTAGTGCATCACCTTAAGGAATTTATTGGACAAGAAAGTTTTATGGTTAAGGGGACAAAAACAACTGAAAATGTTCCTACCTGTGACAATGACAGTGAGAATATGGACGAAGTTGATATAGTTGTGTCTCGTGATTCATCAGAGGGTGTGTCCAAGTCATCCACTTTCTCTCACCCACCCATTGAGGGTGTTGAAAAGGAGATAGAATTTGTATACAATGCAATGGAGAAAGGTGTAGTGTATCTGCTAGGAGAAGCAGAGATAGTGGCAGACCCAAAATCATCCTTCTTCAATAAGATTATTGTCAACTATGCATATAGCTTCCTTAGAAACAACTTTAGGCAAGGGGATACATCAATGTCAGTACCAAGGAAAAGACTTCTTAGGGTCGGTATGACTTACGAAATTTGACAAGGATATGAGATGCAGATATTATACTAACTAGTTTGTTGCGGTTTATAACTAACTAGTTTTGATACGAGTACTTCAACCCAAAACTTTAAAGTTTGTATATCTCAAATGCATTCTTACATACAAGAGTCGTTTGGACTTGAAGCATGGATATGATACAAGTCCATTTTTAGTTTGTCTGATGCTTTTTTTAATTTCATCTGAAAGTAGGGGATCGAACTCGTGAACTCTTGTCAATTAAACTCTTAGTCACCCTAATAAATGTCAATTCAACCCAAAATCTTAAAAGTTGGTGAGATTTAATTAATTATTTTGTATATTTTATATTTCTATGACAAATCTGTAGTTATATTCAAATGTTATGTAGTATAGCAATATTCTCCCGAGTCCAAATGAATGCCTATCTAATCCTCTGTGGGAACCAATGTAAGCGCACGAGTGAGTTGCAAATGCGCAATCACCAATGACAATGAGGTTATATACCGATCGAGGATTCCTATTGATTGGGAAATTATCCCCACTCCATCCTTCAATTTCTGGAGAAAAAGATTATAAGCAAACTATTTTCTTCTTAAAAAAAATTATTTTTTATAAAAAATTAAAAAAATGAAAACATGTGTGCTTTCTGTAAAACTATTTGTGTCTCATGTGTAACGTGTGTCAATCGGTTTAATTAAATAATAAAAGAGGCTTTATGGTAATTGACGTTTCGCATTAATGGTAATTGACGTTTTGACGTTTTGCATTATGGTAACGTTTTACATTAATGGTAATTGACGTTTTGACGTTTCGCATTAATGGGAAGTTACAGGGAGTTATTTGAAACTCCGTAACTGGTGACATGGTTCAGTTATATAAAGAGAAAAATGGTGAGTCTCTGATTATGATAATCTCTCAGAATTCTCTCCTTCATGGTCTGCCCATAAAAGTTGTATCAGATCCCTGTCATAGACGATACAAGGAAAGCAGAGGGTAAAGACTCTGAGAAACAATCTTCCATCATCAAAGTTCTTCATCAGAGTTCTTCCGCACTAATGGAGAAAGGTACGCTCTTATGTGAAAATCATGAATTCTAAAGATCCTGTATCATGTTCTTGACTATTACTGTTGAACATGAATCATGAATTACTGATTAAATCGTTTACATGTGGTATCAGAGCATGTGTTTAAGAATTTGAGTTTTTCCATAAATAATTATGAATGAATTTCTGATTCATGAAAAGTTAGGGTTTTTGAAAATAAAATTCACGATCATCATTGAAAATTTCCGATCATCATGCTTAAAGGTAATTCTCGATAGCCATTCGGTTTTCAATTTGGTTTCATGAATCACTGACATTTGTGTCCACATTTGATTTTGAAAAGAATCGTGAGTTTTGAAGGAAAAATTCAAATTGACTTTGTATTCACAAAAGGACAAAGTTGGAAAGATTTCCATTCGGTTTGTATTTGAAAATAATGCATATTGTATGCAAAGAGATTGAATCGGCTTGTATTATCAACTTGTCAGATTGAATCGGCTTGTATTATCAACTTGTCAATAATCGATATATATGCATACAGTATTGTTGCTCATTAATTTTAAAAGTCAATCGGTGGGTTTCATTAAAGTATAATAAGAAGACCTATAATAGTTTTAGCTACTGATTGAATCGGCTTTTAGGTACTGTATGAATATTTTATTTTTATTTTTTCCTTCTAAACCGTGAATGTGAATGATTATATGATGTGGTTGGATTAAAATTGAATATGAAAATTTAATCCTATTATTGTTTATGAAATATTAAAGTTTTGGAAATTAAATTATGATAGATTTGTTAGTCACCAAAGTGGCCAAATCTTGAAGAGTTATTTTAATTTCAAATATTATGAATTTTATTTCAATTACCATGACTGTGATGCTATGAATAGTATGATATAATTATTATAGTTATGGTATATTGAAGTTCATTATTGTAGAACAGTTGGGGATCAACCCAAAGGTTGATTATTTGTTTTATAAAATGAACATGGATGTTGGTATTGTTGGCATATTTCCTCACATTTGGACATCCAAAGATGACAAATAATTATGATAGGGGTATGCATCATTGCCAAATTATGTGAAATTTATATAGCATCATTATAGTTAATGTTGTATGTTAATGGATCCCCAAAGGCGAACATTAATATGCATTGAAGTTAGTATAGTTGAATCTATACATTGAAGTTAGTATAGTTGAATCTGTGAAGTATGTCAGTATGTGACATGTATGACTCAAAGCATTAAGTCAGCTCTTCCACAAACTGAAAGTATCATCGAAATGATGAACTTGTGGAAGAGCGCTCCCAAACCGCTGATAAGTCTCTTGTTGGGACACTTATGAGTACACTGACCACCATGAAGTTTGATGGTTCGCGTACTATGCATGAGCATGTTATTGAAATGACAAGCATTGCGGCAAAATTAAAATCATTGAGCATGTTATTAAAATTATTCTGTCAATTATGTAAAGCATCAAGAAGCCGAAAAGTATAAAGGTAAGATGCATGAGAAGAAAGGAGGAGGAGGAGGACCCCTTAAAGTGAATGACGCCTCTTCTTCTAAAATCCACAAGGCCAAATGAAAAGTTTGTCTTTATGGGCAATAGAGTGAAAGTTCCGGTGGAAGCTGTTGGGACTTACCGTTTAATTCTCGATAGTGGATTTCATTTGGATTTACGTGAAACTCTTTATGTACCTAGTATATCTAGGAATTTAGTTTCAATTTCCAAACTTGATGTTGCTGGATACTCTTTTAAATTTGGTAGTGGTAGTTTCAGTTTGTACAAGCACAATCATTTGATTGGTAATGGTACTTTATGTGATGGATTATATAAATTATGTCTTGATAATCTTTATGCTGAAACACTTATGACTCTGCATCATAATGTTGGTACTAAACGTACCTTAATTAATGAGTGTTCCGCTTACTTGTGGCACAAACGTTTGGGACATATTTCCAAAGAAAGGATGAAAAGATTGGTAAATAATGAAATCCTTCCAGATTTAGACTTTACTGATTTGAATGTCCGTGTGGATTGTATTAAAGGAAAACAAACAAAACACACAAAGAAAGGAGCCACAAGGAGCACTCAGCTTCTTGAAATTATACACACTGATGTATGTGGTCCATTTGATGTTAATGCCTTCAATAAAGAAAAATATTTTATCACTTTCATTGATGATTATTCACGTTATGGTTATGTCTATTTGTTGCATGATAAGTCTCAAGCTGCAAATGCTTTGGAGATTTATATTAATGAAGTTGAAAGGCAATTAGACAGAAAGGTGAAGATTGTCAGGTCTGATAGGGGTGGTGAATATTATGGAAGGTATGATGAAAGTGGACAACATCCGGGCCCATTTGCTAAATTTCTGGAAAAGCGTGGTATTTGTGCTCAATACACAATGCCCGGTTCACCGCAACAGAATGGTGTATCAGAAAGGCGTAATAGGACCTTACTGGATATGGTTAGGAGTATGTTAAGTAATTCTTCTTTACCTGTTTCATTGTGGACTTATGCTCTAAAAACTGCCATGTACCTATTGAATAGGGTTCCTAGTAAGTCAGTTCCAAAGACTCCTTTTGAACTTTGGACTGGAAGGAAACCTAGTATAAGACACCTGCATGTTTGGGGTTGTCAGGCAGAGATTAGATATTATAATCCGCAAGAAAAGAAACTAGATGCAAGGACAATCAGTGGTTATTTCATTGGTTATCCAGAAAAATCGAAAGGGTATAGATTTTACTGTCCTTATCATACTACAAGGATTATTGAATCTGGAAATGCAAGGTTCATTGAGAATGGTGAAGTTAGTGGGAGTAACACCACGTAAAGTGGATATTCATGAAGTGAGAGTACAAGTTACATTACCTTGTAGCTCTAGTAAAGTTATTGTTCCTTATGCTATTGAACCAATCAATAATAATGAAGGACAAGTTAATGATCCCACTACTTATGAAGAGATCATTGTTGATGAACCGAATGAACCCATAGTAGAAGAACCACAACAAATAACATTAAGAAGATCTCAAAGAGAAAGGAGACCTGCTATTTCTAATGATTATGTGGTATATCTACAAGAGTCTGAATTTGACATGGGTATTCAGGATGATCCAGTAACGTTTTCACAAGCCATGAATGGAGAAAATGGTGATAAATGGTTAGATGCCATGAAAGATGAGTTGAAATCTATGGAACAGAATAAGGTCTGGGATCTTGTTGAGTTACCAGAAGGGTGCAAGAGAGTTGGTTGTAAATGGGTCTTTAAGACCAAACGTGACCCTCATGGTAACTTGGAACGTTACAAGGCCAGACTAGTTGCAAAGGGATTCACTCAGAAAGATGGCATTGACTATAAAGAAACTTTTTCACCAGTTTCAAAGAATGATTCGTTAAGAATTATTATGGCATTGGTGGCTCATTATGATCTAGAGTTACACCAAATGGATGTGAAAACCGCCTTTCTAAATGGAGATTTAGATGAAGATGTGTACATGGACCAACCAATGGGGTTCATAGAAAAGGGTAAAGAGCACATGGTGTGCAAACTTAAGAAGTCAATATACGGACTTAAACAAGCTTCACGACAATGGTACCTTAAGTTCAATGATACCGTTGTTTCCTTTGGATTTAAAGAAAACATCGTTGATCGATGTATATATCTGAAGATCAGTGGGAGCAAGTTCATCTTATTGGTTCTGTATGTTGATGATATTTTGCTTGCAACTAACGATCTTGGTCTTTTAACTGAGACTAAGAAGTTTCTCTCTAGTAACTTTGAAATGAAAGATATGGGTGAGGCAGCTTATGTGATAGGAATAGAAATATTCCGTGATAGATCACAAGGACTGTTAGGTTTGTCTCAGAAAGCATATATTAATAAAGTTCTAGAGAGATTCAGAATGGAAAACTGCTCATCTTCTCCAGTTCCAATTCAGAAAGGAGATAAGTTTAGTCTCTTACAATGTCCTAAAA